TCAGCTTCCTCCCCCTCTCTGCCGCCCTTTGTAGGCCTCAGCAGGGAAGAGGAGGGGGGCAAAACCTGTTATCTGCCTGGCTTTACCCCCGCCCCGCCGTCTCTGCCCAGGGGGCACCAGCCACCGCTGCCCCCTTGGTTAAGTCCAGAGTAAATCCCTCTGGTCTTTGTCCATGGAGTTTTCTTGGCAGGGATGGAGTGGCTTGCCTGTTCCTACTCCAGGTGGATCACGTTTGGTCAAAACTCTCCACTATGACCTGTCCATCTTGGGTGGCCCTGCACGGCATAGCTCATAGCTTCTCTGAGTTATTCAAGCCCCTTCGCCACGGCAAGGCAGTTAAAGAAGGCTGATCACCGAAGAATTGATGCTTTTGAATTATGGTGCTGGAGGAGACTCTTGAGAGTCCCATGGACTGCAAGAAGATCAAACCTATCCATTCTTAAGGAAATCAGCCCTGAGTGCTCACTGGAAGGACAGATCCTGAAGGTGAGGCTCCAATACTTTGGCCACCTCATGAGAAGAGAAGACTCCCTGGAAAAGACGCTGATGTTGGGAAAGATGGAGGGCACAAGGAGAAGGGGACGACAGAGGATGAGATGGCTGGACAGTGTTCTCGAAGCTACTAACATGAGTTTGACCAAACTGCAGGAGGCAGTGGAAGACAGGAGTGCCTGGCGTGCTCTGGTCCATGCGGTCACGAAGAGTCGGACACGACTAAACAACAACAACAACAACAACAACAACAACAAATCCCTCTGGAAGGGCTGTTCTGCCCTAGTCAACACGGAAAAAGGAAAGCGGCCCGGCGGAGTCTCCGCACCTCTCCGTCGTCCAAAAAGCCACGCTGTCAAAATAAATCCTGGACGGCTAAGGGGATGGATGGTTCCCTGCTCCTCTCAAGCTTGTGGAAGTCCGAAACGTGAAAACTCAGCAGTTCCATGTCAAGGAGGGAAAGCAAAGTGCAGCGGTTCCAAACACAGCTTGTATAACACCTCCTAACGAGGGAAGTCGCAATCCTAAAAACAACAAAATACAGGTCTCGCCGCCTTTCCTAAAAACAGCGGAGGAGACGGCGGGTTCCTTGGCTATCTTTAGGAAAGGACTCTAAGAACCCGAGTAACTGGATCCCTGCCAGAAACTGAATCTGATCTTTCCTCCCACACCGGCAGCGCATAGGAAGCGAGGCTGGATGCGCAGGGCGCAGCGGGGGGGGGGGTGTGCTGGCGATAGCGAGAGAGGCGCCTTCCCACGCGACGGGGGTGACCAGCCTTGGCAACTGAACTGCATCCGGGACAGGACTTTCGTGTCAGCTCAAACCTCGTGACACCTGGGCGCCAAGCTCAACTCAGTGCAGACATTGACAAGGAAGAGGTGGAAGCATTGCAGAGATGAATGCTCACCCTCAGCTCCGAATGGCCCAAAGAATCACAGAATCGCAGAGTTAGAAGGGACCCCCCCGAAAAAGGGTCATCAGACTGTTCCTTGAGCTCCTCCAGCACCTTCACGGAGGAGGCCGTGAGCAGCCTTGAACACAACGGGAAACAAAGAACGCTGCCTGAGCCAGACCGCCGGCTTATCTAAGCCGGTCCTGCCTACACTGGTTGGCAGCAGCTCTCCTGGGGACATTCCAAGCCACGCCGGGAATTGAACCAAAGCACCTCTTCATGCGAGGCTGAGCTACCAGTCTGGTGCCCGGCTCTCCCTTTTGGACAAAGAGGGAAGTCCGTGTTTTGAAAGGAATGCGGGCTTCCTTGATACAGTGGTACCTCGGGTTACAGACGCTTCAGGTTACAGACTCCGCTAACCCAGAAATATTACCTCGGGTTAAGAACTTTGCTTCAGGATGAGAACAGAAATCGTGCAGCGATGGCGCAGCGGCAGCGGGAGGCCCCATTAGCTAAAGTGATGTTTCAGGTTAAGAACGGACCTCCGGAACGAATTAAATACTTAACCCGAGGTACCACTGTATTCTCCCCTGATCTCAGTAAGGGAACAGTCGTGACTGAGCTGATTTTTCCGGGAGGAGACGCAGAGGCACTGTGCAGGGACTAGTAAAACCATCGGACTAACACGAGCGGGCAGAACCGGGTTCAAATCTCCGCTGAAGCCAGAAACTCATTGGCTGGCCATTGGATCCTCTCTCTCTCCCGATCCCTAATGTTGTTTTAAAGAGGACAAGTGGGAGAAGAGAGACCTCGCTTTGCCCCCCCCCCTCGAGTTGCTTTGGAGAAAAGACACGGTAAGAATCATAGGGGCCAACCTCTAGTGGCCGAGGGGTCTTTGCCCCCCCCATAAAATATTTGAGGGGGCCCACAAAGTTGATGGGCATTGCCATTCAAATGGTGATAGATTACGTGGGGCGGAGCTTACCTGCCTTCCCCCCCCCCAATATTTTTGTTCAAGTTGGTAAGAATGGTCCTAAATAAATATGGATGAGATGCTTCCAAATCGGGAGCCTTTAGGCGCATCCTTCATGAGGACTGGGTGCTTCTTTGCAACCCAACTTAGGTGCCGGCTGCCCACAAAATTCCCCACGGAGAGGCCGGGCACCCACACATTTCGGCGCCAGGGCCATGCACGCTGCAGGGCACCCACGGTCGCGGGGCCAAGCTGGCTCTTCTGCTACCGAACCAGCGTTTCTGGGCTTGCTAATTGCTGGCTTGGCGTCGCGCACAGCCGAAGGGAAACACGCCGCAGCAAACAATAATGAAGCGAGCACCGCGTCTACGGGGAAGGAGACGCTCCCGACCAAAACTTGGCTTTGCTGATAGACAGAGCTGTTCGCTGCCCTTTCTCAGCGTGAGAGATTCAGGGTCCAAGATGGCCAGAGATGGCTGGGATGCAAGGCTAGGTGGGAGAGAACGGGGCGAGAGCGGAAACTCTACCTCCAGGAAAATCCTAAAATCAAATCATCTAGTCGCTCTGGAGTTGCCCCTCTCTGTCCTTCCACCCACCCCCGTTTTGTTGTTGTTTTTCCCGAAGGTAAGGCGACTTCGGGGGGGGCACGCACGCTTATAGTTCAGAAGTTTCTTAATGAAATGCAAGCCGCGGTTCGTTCTGTGGCTACTGGCTCATCGCTCGCTTGAGAGAGGCTTTTATCCCGCTTAAATATGAGGTAGTTGTTGCTGCTACTCATACCGACGACCCGCAGCAACACGAGCTTATTCCTGAGTAAGGTAAATGACTTCACGGACCCCCAAGACAAAGAGAGCTAAGAGATAGGGTGGCCGTGGCTGTTCTCAGAGGCGGCCAGCGCGAGTTGTACTCTTTTTTCTTCTTTTTTTTAGCAGGAAAGATCCCGGGGTGCCGGACGGCCTTTATCATTCCCCAAGCCAGAGTGCTGCCTGCAGGATCCCACTTGAACCCGGGAAACTCAGATTTAAATCCCCACTCAGCGAAGAAACTCAGCCTACCCTCCCTCTCAGGGTTGTTGTGTCATAATGTACGAGAAGGAGGATGGGATGAAAAGTTAACTTTTTCAGATCAGGCGTCGGCTGTTCTCCTTCAGGGAGGGTTGTCCTTTAACTCCCCCCGCTCCATCCTAACCCCCCACCCCCGCCCAAGTGACCACGGAAGGTTATTCTAAGGCGTCTATTCTAAGGCATCAAGTGACAGCCGCCCTTGGGTGCTCCGCAGTCTGGCCAGATTAGCAGACGTCCTGCGCATTTCGCTCTGTCTGGTCATGGGAGGAGATAGCTAGGACTTAGGGAGACCCTCAGAGTACGCTCGGCATGAAAACGACTTCTGCTTCCCCAGAGCTGCCAGAAATGCGATAGTACTCTCCTAGCAACGTCAAGGCTAGCGGAGAGTGGGGAGGCTATGGAGGCAGTTCCGGAGAGAGCAAGAGGACGCTTCTCCACTGCTGTTATCTCCATAGCTAACCTTGAGCTTCAGCCGCTCCTTAATCCTAAACGAAGCGCAGCAGGCCGAGGGCTGTCCGGCCCTGTTCTGCTCGAGCTTGCCGTCCTTGCATTTAAAATCTGAGGTGGGGGCGCTTTTCCTACTCTTGGTTCGTACTTTACCTCAAGCTCTCCAGACCAGAGACTGGCGATGCAGAGACTGCTCCTCTAAAGGTTAAGATAGGGCTTTCCTTCCCGTTTACTTCGCATTTGCTCAGTTTAGAGCATTAGTTGGAGTGTGATCCCATTGATGACTTGGCTAAGAGGAAAACTTGCATCGTGTGAGCATTTCCTACCATTGAAGTCAGTGGGAACGCGAATGAACCTCGCGATTCTGTTGGATGCAATAATGCGCACGCGCGAGCACACACACACTCCTGGCCCCGCTCCACTTAGAAACCCAGGAGAACCGCTTAGGAACCTGCGAGGGGGAAAGTCCGAGATGGACCCCTGCCTTTCAGCGTTCACCCATGCAGCTTCCACTGCTTGGTGAGTATCAGCTGAGCAACAAATAAAAATAATAGGGTTTTACTCTCGTTTTTAACCTCCGGTATATTCAGATCCCTGTTGGAATGAGTGGCAGGGAGGTCTTAGACTGGAAATAATGTGGCAACAGGATGGGAGTTAACAAAACAGGCCGGTGTAAGCAGAGAGACAGAAGCAAACCACTGGGAGAAATTCCTAGCCCAGTTCCCTTTCTAGTCTGGTAATAAATTTTATCATCTGGCTGGGCTATAGTTCAGTCTACCTATGGAGATCTAGGTCTCTTCCAGGGCTTAGATGTCTTCTTAAGCTGCCCCCGCCCCCCTTGAGAGATGTGTTCCAACAAAGATAGTCACAGGCAGCATCTTTTCCCTTTGACTGAAACATCTCACTCAGGAAATGGTACCCAGCACAGCCCCCTCTGGTTACTGCAGCAGAAGCACTGCTGAGTCAGCAAAAGTGGCCCAGTCCCCTCCCCACCTCTTCCCCCCCCCCAACCCAGCCACAAGCCTTTCCAGCAGGGAAACACACTGCCAGCAACCCTCTGTATTGCAAATGGGGGGGGGGGTTGCATCTCTCTTGCACTCCACAGAGCAACAAACAAAACAAAGCCAAGTCTCTATTTACAAAGTCGTATATATATTTCAGTTCACATAAAAAGCAGGTACTGTATTAGACATTCAACACTGGCCGAAGACACCTACTTAAGCTTCACTTCTGAGACTTGTTAGGCCAGATCCATGATTATAGGTTTTGTATTTTCTTTTCCTTTTTTTTTTTTACAAAGAGAATTAAATAACTCACACACACATACATTCAATATATGTAACTATGTACATACACATATACACCCACATGTATGTTTAGCTTTTATATACCCATGGGCGTGCATCGAGAGACACACGTCCGTTAGTGGCACAGAGCCACCTTTGACACCTGAGGAGGTAGGGACCGCATTTGTGATCTATTTTCAACCCAAGAGGCATTCCTCCTGGCCACTACCCTTTCCCCAACCCCAAACCCTCCAGCCTCTGTAGCAGGACTACAGAAACCTTTGTCAACATACAAAAAGCTGACATACATATTCCCCACCCACCCCATGTAGGAGAACTGAACGCATCTGCAGTTTGTTTCATGAAGTTTTTGAACTGAGTTTGCAATATTGGCTTCATTTTAGAAAGGAGGGGACAGAAAACAAGAACCTGACTTACTTCCCTCGGTACAGTCCCAACAAAAATCCCCACATTTGTTTCATTGGAAGAAACCTCCAAAATAATGAACAGAAGCAAGGAGGTGGGTGAAGAAGCAAGACATTTCTAGCTGATCCCAGAGAAGGAAAACAGCCCTGCTTGTGCTTCCTTCTTACACCCAACCTTCGTCCTCCCCATGTCTCATTATGCCACATGTGCTTTCATCCCCAGCGCCGTCCCCAAATTAGAGCATGCTTTAAAAGGTTCCAGCAAGTAGGCCATTCAGAGAAAAGACAGAGAAGGCTACTCACCCCCCCTGCCAGGCCCTTGGAGACTGCTAGACAGATTTGTGCTTTTTGAACCAAGAAGAGATGCTTAAATCAATATCTATTGGGACACCACAACACCTGCTAAACACAAACGAGAGCAAAGCCAGCCTCCCATTCTGCACACATCCCCTCTTAATGTGGGAGGGTCTAACGCAGGGTTAGGAAACAAATTTGCATTCCCCCCAAAAAAACAAAAAACTGGAGGGAGCTGAATATTGCAACGCATTTTACAAATCTTCAAATGTCAAGAGTGCTTTATGCAAGGGAGCAGGAAAAAGGGGTTTATGTTCAGCATAAAACTGGCAGGTGAAAATAACTACTTGACTGTTGACCACAGAAAGAAGAAGAATCTCGTGTGGGACTGGGGGTAAGGGGGGGCAAAGCAGAATATACTTCTTCCCAGAAAGTACAAGAGAAAGAAAGCCACATATAAACAGGCAGTTTGCTTTGTAACTGATCTTGTGCCCCTAATTAAGTGTCTTTTAAAGAGGAGCTGCTTTCTCAGCCTCTATAATGGAGGCTTAACATTTCTGAGGAAGATAAAGATCTTCCCTAACACACCTTTTTAAAGACCCATCCAACAAACAGGGGAGAAGGTCAATTGTGGGGAAGTTGGTGGGGGAGAGAGAGGAGGTTTACTTTCAATGTAACAGCAGGATTGCCTAAAATATGAGCAGTGAGATACTTTCCTCCCCAACTTTTCTGGCATGTAAGGAATGTAAACAGATTTTTCTTTTTTTGGAGTGACTAGGGAAGGACGAAAGAAAGAAAGAAAGAAAGAAAGAAAGAAAGAAAGAAAGAAAGAAAGACCAGAACAAGTTAAGCTAAACTATCAGCTCAGTTACTTCTCCCCACCCCCTTCTCCCCACAAGTCATTTTAAAGTGCATGACAGCAGCTACACTTTTTCGGAATCTTGAAACATACAAAGCCCCTTTTCTCTTGCAAGAAAAGGTAATTCAAGTTAATACTTCTTTGCTAAAACATCTTTCGGATTTTTGTTTTTTTAATTGACACATTTTATAGCAACAACTTAAAAAAAACAACTGGAGCAAAACATAAGAAAGACAATACTGTAAAGTCAAGTGCTCACTTCAGCTGCCCAGCTAGAACAGTTGTGTATACAGCACACTTGATTGTACAAAGCAACACCTTATAATATAACAATCAAGAAACTGGAGACCTTTTATCGTCCCCCCAGGTGAATATAATACCCCCTATTTGCCCTCATCTTCTTTGGGGGAAGGGACAGGGTAAAAAAAAAGGAAAACAAACAAACCAGAAAAAATGAAATCAATATGTTATAATTAGCTAATAAGGTCATTCATTATCTACACCTGCTCTTGCAACTGAAGTAAGACATACATCAGTTCTGTTTTTTTTACTGTCCTTCTCCAAGAGCCTTAAATAAAAAACCAACAACTTAGAGTTGAAATATATATGTATATAGATATATATATGTATTTTTCTTTAAATAACATATTTACATCTAATAGAAAATATAACTCTAGAGATAATTTTTCCAACCAAAATTGAAATTGGTGGTGAGGGACTAAATGAATGAGTTAAGGACAGGTGTTCCCCCCTCCCCCTCCCCCAATCCTGTCCAATAAACCAAAAATCCAGAACCAGACAACAACCTCTACCCCAAACCCTTTAGATGCCTCCTCTTCTCAAAGGGAATTCATCGCTTTTCCTTGAAGAACCCTTGGTCTGTGCTGCTCTCCTTAATGGTAACTGTCAAGAAATTAGACGTCACATCAGTGACTACCACTTTCTCCAAGTTGTTGAGAGATGGGCTCCAAGCTTCCTCTTCCGGGTCACCGAGGATCCTGGAGACAGGGATGCGGGCAATGAGAGAAGGCCTGCCGGCCTGGGTCCCTATACCATCTCGGTATAAGCCGCCTTGGCTGGCAGAGCTGTGCAAGATCTTAGGGGCGCCCAAGTCCAAACTACTTTGCCCTTTCGGATCCAGGAAATCTGCCCTGTGCTTTGTTAGCCTGGGGGGGTAGGCCTCAGGTGCACACAGCTTAATGCCAGCTTCTGCTCTGGGGCTGGAGACAGCGCTGGGTAACTCAGGCTCCCGTCTCCGAGCTAACTGGATCACACTGTGTCCTGAGCTGAATTTGGCTGTGCCCGGGTTAGCTGCCTCTTCCAGTTTTCTGGCCTTTAGGTAATCGACCACGGCCTTGTCCCCTGGTTCCACCGATTTCCGCTTGCAGGTGACGTCAGCCGGTTCAGGCAGGTCTTTGTAGAGCTCTTTCCTGGGCTTGGGGCCTCGCTTTTTAAAGGCTGCTTCAGACCGGTCTTCCTCTGCCCCAATCCTGTTTTCCTGGATAGTCTCTACCCGGGAGGTGTTGGTGGTAGCAGTGGCGGAGGTGCTTTGAGGGGGCAATGGGATTTGCCTCAGTCCTTCCCTAGCACGGGAAGTAGAGCCCATCTCCTGGGGGGACCTTCCTGGGTACGGCACCCGGATCCCCCTAGCAGAGTCGCTACGGAATTCATAGGTCTTAGCTTTGGCTTTTGCCTGGGCCTGCAACAGAACAGAACAGACAAAAAGGAACTGGATTGATCTAAAACTTTGCCACAGCAGCTTCATCAATTTAGCTTATAAAGCAATCACAGTGTTTGTTTTTCCCTCTGGTGCACATACAGATATAAACACAGCAATGGAATCATCCCTCATTAGCAATGCTGCTTTTTGAAAGTGATTTCTGTTACACCCAGAAGACACCTCTCTCTTTATCCTGTACACTTCCTCTTACCTTTAGCAAAAACGTTTTGGGTTTGGGGCCTCGTTTCTTAGGACCATAAAGTTCCATTTCTCTTTCCCTAAATAAGGTTTTTAAAAGGAAAAAGGAAAAAAAAATTACAAACCCAGAAGATCATAGCATCAGATTAGCACTGCTCCAAAACACAGTGATATGGGTAAAAAGTGATTCCCCCTGCCTAAAGAGCATACCTTTCCTCAAAAGCTGCAAGCAGACGTGCATCTAGAATATTTTCCTCAGGTTCCCAGGTGCTGTATCTAGCCAAAGGAGAAGGAAAACAAAATGAGGTGGTGTGAGGGGTTGTTTCTTTAATGCGTTCTTATTTTCCAGAACAGAACGAGTGCATGGTAACTTAAAAGATCGTCCAGTCCATCCCTCTTTCCATTAAAACACTATATTCAATTTTACTGCAAAATAAAACAAGGCCAACACCATCCTAAATACACATTCAGCTTCAAGGACTGCCTTTGACAGTTACTTACTTTTGAGACCAGCCCTTCCATTTCACAAGATATTCCATACGACCCTGCAGATGTCAAGAGGAGAAGACAAATTAGCATGCATTTCAGGAAAAGGAGGGAGGCGGTCCAGAAGAATGCAATACAACGCTCAAAACCATGCTTGTAATAAAAACCAAAGGTGCACTCAAAAGCATGTGTCAGGGGTGTGGGGGTGTGCAGTGTGTATGTGTGTGTTGCTGGTGGCCAAAAGGGTGCCACAAAAATGCACACACAAGCGGCAAGGGCGGAAAGAGAGAGAGAAATCCATACATGAAAAAGGGGGCGTGCTGCAAAAAACGTGATCAAACATGCATGCAGCGAATGCGTGCAGCGAAAGATCCGTGCAGCAGCCCGAACGGTGCATGCATGCAAAGGAAGGAGGCGCAGGAGCCGCTTTCGATGGCGGTGGCGCTGGCACCGTGCGCAACGCGAGCAGCAGCCCGGAGGAAGCGGCGGGGCTCCGGAGTGCTGCTGCTGCTGCTGCTGCTGCTGCTGCATCAGAAGGAGAAGGCAGGGGGGAGCAGCCGGGCCAGCGCCGCTCGCTCGCCTGCCTGCCTGCCTGCGGCCTCGCGCGGGGCCTGCGGGCCCGGGGGCGGCGCGCACAAAGCCCCGACGGGCGCTTCCCGTGCGCGCGAGGGGACCTACTTTGCGGATGCGTCTCTTGAGCAAGGCCTCGGCCGCGAACACCCTCTCGCCGACGGCGGAGAGCTCCATGTTTACTCGGCCGCGGGCAGCAGGAAAGCGGCGGCGGCAGCAGCGGCAGCCAGCCCAGCCCAGACCATAATACTCCGCTCGCTGACGTCAGCCTTCGCCCTCCCTCGCCTGCCTCCGCACTTGTTGCTGGCGGAGCCTGGCTGCCTGGCTGCGTGCGCGCTCGCTCCCTCGGAGCAACCGCGGCGGTGGAGGGAGAGCAGAGGAGAGAGGGAGGCCGCCGCCGCCGCCGCTGCCGGAGCTCCTCCGCTCGGCCTGGGCCCGGCTCTTCCCCCGGCCGCGCGGCGCCCGCCTCCCTGCGACGTGAGCCGCGTTTCAATCGCAAGGGGGCGGCGCCCAAGGAGCAGGGAGGCAGGAGGGGGCGGGCAGGCTGCGTCCCAAGGAGGAGGAGGAGGAGGGGAGCAGGGAGGGGGCTCTCCGGAGGGGGGAGGGAGGAGGGGGTCCTCAGCTGTCTGGTTCTGGAGACCGGGGTGGGGGGGAGGGGTGCACATCTAGGCAGCCCTCCCCAGCCACCACCCCCTTCCCCCTTTCGCAGAGAGACGCTGCAGCCTGGACTCGCTGCAGCTTGCCAAGGCACTCGGGCCCACGGCCTGATCTTCTCCCTATTCACCGTGGGGTAGGGGGGAGGGGGTATGGGGCGAGGATGCGGGGTGGGGGTGGGAAGGAGGGTGGAATAAATTCAGTGGCATTTCTAGAAGCCGATGATACTATAACGGTTTTATTGTGTGTGTGTTTCAAACGACTTATTTACAAAATAAACGACGACGACGACGCCTCCCTAAGCCTTGCAGAGAAACTCCCCCCCCCATCCGAAGATCAGGGGTGTTGGTAAAATAATAAAGGGGGTGTCCACGCCGGGTGAATGGGGATGACCCAAGTTTCCTCGGCTTGGGTAGTGGACAGGTTTGGGAAATCGATGGCGTTCTCGATCCTCTAGGCAAGGACGGTTTGGTGGTGAGTGTGGCGCGCATTGCAAAAATAAATGAAATAATTTAGCCTATCCTTCACCCCCCCCACACACACACGCCCGCCTCTCCTTCCTCACACCACGTAAAGTGCCTTTTAATAGCGGGAGGAGGAGGCGGGACCAGAATGGGTTAGGTACCACCACCGAAGCCGCCAGCCAGCGCGCTGCCTTCCTGCACCCAGCTCAAGCAGACGCTGCATTTCCTGAACAGCAGCAGCAGCGACGTTTGTGCAGAGAAAGGGATTTGGAAAAGAGGGGGGGGGATAGCACTCAAATGCACACAATGGGCTGGAAAAGTCGACTCAGCAAGCGAGCCCCCCATCTCTTTTTCGGTGGCACCGGAGCAAGAGGAGGACTGCTGCTCCTGGGACTGGACCTCTTTCCTTCCCAAGATCCAGACACACCAGAGCCGGGTCGCTTTCCTAGGCAGCCTTCGGTCGCCAAGGAAAAGCCTCGCTCCGCTCCCTCGTCCACCTCTGCCGAAACCAGGGGGGCTCCTGCGCTTTTCCACGAGCAAAGCGTTCGCCTTCCTCTGGAGTTCTGCTGCGTAGAAAAGTTGAAACGCAGCAGCCGTTCCGTTTTATGGCAACATATTGAGCAAAACTCGGTTGAACTTTGACTTAAGGCATATTTGCAGCATGACACATGCAGACAGATACGGGGACGGGGGTTGTGCACGTGTGTGAGAGGGATGCGGAAATATGCGATAGAAAAACCATAAACGCGCGATTTGCGCGGTGGAGAAAGAGTCTCTGTTACTTATTACCGATCTTTATTGACCTTTCCGTCCTAGGTGGGGAGGGATCTGAGCGGTAATAAAGTTAAACAGGAGATCCTAACTTTGCCTCCTTACTTGGCGGTAAGTTCCACGGACATCCATGACTCCCCACTTCAGAGTTAAGCACGTGTGGGATCGGAGCGAAAGAAACCTACGAAGCTGCGATCCTAAGTACACTTCTTTGACATCAGTTTGGCTTTACCAACAAAACGTTTCCTGTGAACTCCGGGAATGACGGACAGACAGGGAGGGAGTTTTTGGCTGGATGACTTTTGAAGACCCGCGCCCCATCCAGAAGTCAGTTATGCCGGATAATTTTGACGTGATCCCCAAATCAGGCTTCAAGATGAACTATTTCTGTCCAACTGCTTGAAGTCTGGAGCAAAAAAACAACAACAAAACTCACTCCACAGGGACAGATAGACTTACTTACTATTCAGTACTGTATACAGATTTTCTGTTTCAGACGATTCGCTGTGCTTGTGCTGATAGGGTATAACAAAGGACCAAAAGTCAATATAAATGTATCAGAGTTCAGATCAATAGAGTAGCTAGTTGGGAGTTTAAAAGATACCCAGATAGTTTACCACGATATAGCTGCTTCCCCAAGGATGGATGGATTAGATGGAGGTATTAAATCTAAACCTATGAGACAGTCATATTATATATTGTATTATGGGTTAATAAAGCGTATAACACTGGGGCGGGGAGACGACTGCACGAGGTTATTTACAAATTACGTAAAATAAAAATAAAATAAAAAACACCTCATCGGACAATAGCAGCCAAAACTTTTCTCCTTTTTAAAGAAGCCAGCCGTGGACTACAAAGTCTTTCTTCGCAGCAAGAACGAGCGGTGCCAGCAATACAGCTGTTTCTGCTTAAGTTTAAATACTTTCCAACAGTTTGGGTAGTGAAAATAAAGCCGACCTCAAGAGCCTATAATACGAGGCTCCGGTTTCCTCGCGCCAAGTACCTCTGGGCTTAGCTTTTCGCAAGTTTGCTCGAGCAGGAGAGAAAGAGAGAGAGAGAAAATAATAATAATAAATAAAATAAAATAATAAAACGTAAGGACGGCTGTGGGAGAGGAGATGTTGAGGCGTTTGTCGCGTCCCACAAGGGGTGTCACAAGTGTCTGGGGGTTTGTAAACAAAGTGGCCCCTTGTTTGTGGAGCGATCAAGGCGTTTCTCTCCACTGAGAGACGGTGCCTCTTCCCCTCTTCCTTCTACCTCCCCTCCCCGCACTGTCGGGCTCCTCTTGCCGAACCATCCTGCAAGTTTCCCCCCTTAAGCCGCCTCCCCCGCCCTCCATCCCCTTTAAATCACTAATGGCTCTTTAAGACTGCAGCTATTTGTTTTAAGATACTATTTCTCTGCGTTTCATCCCTCAGTGACTTTACTGCCTCTTTACTCCAGTTAACTGTGTTTACTTTTCAGACGATTTGAAGGGACTCAAGAAGAAGTTCAGGCGCTGCGCGGAGAGGGGAGGCAGATAGGCTGGGAGTCATCTCCCGCCGAGTTTCAAAAACCAGGGAGGAAGGAACCACTTTTCCTTCTCTGTTCCGACGTGATCTGAACAGAAAGGATGGACTCGACCCGAAGAGTGGTATGGCTCAAAACTTAATATGCATTCTGGTGCTATTTGCCACGACCAGGGGCGGAGGGGATATTTATAATAATTTTTTTTAAAAAAAGCAAAGAGTTTTGTGCAGCTCCTGGCACAGTGCTTGAGCAAAATAAATCAGATAGCAATAGTAAGATCGCTTAGTTAGGTACGCACGTGATATCAGTGTCAAGGGTGTGCGGTGCTTTCCATTCTAGCTGAAACCCAGCATTTATCTCCACGATCTTTACGTATTGGCTTTTATGGCTTCAGCAGTCATCAGTCAATCAATCAATCAATCAATCAATCAATCTCTGCATCGGAGGGATTCCTCTGAATGGTAAACTTGACTAGCAAAGGCAGCAATATTCAACATGTTTCTGAACAATATGGGGACAGGGTTTTTAGGGCAGGTCTATTTCCAAAACGAAACAGCGTTGGTGTTGGGATCAGAATTATAGTACAAAACTTGAATTTAGCAGTATAAAGTTTAGAGGAAGGGTGAGGTTTGCCTCGCATAACCATCTCCTCACTCTCTGTTTTCTTATTGCCACTGGGATAAACAATATAGTAACAGGCCACCTCTGGAGTAACCCCCGTGTCTATTCCACGCACCCCGTTGGGTTTTCACCGTCTGTCCCTCACACCTCTACCTGCTCCCCCCCCCCAAAAAAAGCACAGTACAGACTAGAATAGCTTGTAGGCTCCGGGGCGAAATGCCTGTTCCGTTTCCAATCGCCTTGCTGGGACATCTGAGCTTCCCCAATGTCCGCGCGCCTCCGCTTGGAGAAATAAGGTAAAGGCTTTCTCTTCCACCTTGGCTCCCTCCATCTGGCTGCAATTTTGACTGTCTTGGAGCGAGTGCGTGCGCCTGTGTGAAAGTGGAAATAAAACGGTCTAGCATTGCGATTTTATGAAGAAAAAAATGCCAGCAGTTCCATTTAGGATCGTTAGCAGCGTGATAAATTAGCTCCCCCTTCTCCCCGGCTCGCCTTCCCCTAAACACAAACACACACACACACAGCCTCTCCTCCCCTCCCTCCCGGGCTCTCTCTTTGTGTGCGCGTGTTTATTTAATGGAACAGGGACTGCCAAACACCTGTTTTCTCCCCCCGCGCGCCACGACGCGTGGCTTTTGTCTCGGCGGGCTCGGAGCTGAAATCGGGGACCAGGAGAGCGTTAGGAGACCGCAGCGCTGGGCGGGGTGTGCGGGAGAGCAGCTAAGGCGATTTCTCCCCCCCCCATTAGAGCTGTATTTGCAGTGCGATATGGAGAGAGAGAGAGAGAGAGAGAGAGGCGGGTGGTGGAGGAGGAGAAGGACCGAGAAGAGAACTGCCCGGGGATGCCTCGGCCAAAGGGCTGGAAATAAGAGGAGGAGGGGCCTGTTCTGCGTTCCAAATGGGGATCTCCCCAAGGCTGGCTGGCTAGCTGGCTGGCTGGCTGTCGATCCCTCACCCCCCACCCCACCCCCGCTTCCCAAACATCTCATTCGGCAGCCTGGGGATATAGATCACCATATTCATACCGAGGCTGTATGGGAAACAGCCTGGAGGCAGACGACAGGGAAGAACGAACCAACAGTGCGCATTCTGATATAGATATACTATACAGACGATGCAGTAACGAGCGCGCAGCGTGCAAACAGCGTACCCGACACACACACACACGCAGTGACAAGCCTGTGGTGCTCGGATCCTGGCGCGCCTGCGCGGCGATTGGAGGGAATGCCCGAGTCAGGTGGCGTCTCGCGCGTGCTCGCGTGGCCCGGAAGAGCCAGCGGGGGGCGTCGCGGAGGCGCGAAGCGAGCCGAATAGATTGCGGAATGGCTGCACCCGAGAGGACGCGACACTGCGCCCGAAACTTACTGGTCGGTGCGAGTAGAGAAGAAGCGGTTCCGGCGTCGGTGGGGAAATGCGCGCACACGGTGCCATTTTCCAAGCAGTCGGAATTTTG